TTTCAGCAATTCAGGATTCAGGGGTTTAGATTGAGGGATAACTGAAGGTTTAGGACTTTCTAGGTTATGGGTGTATTTGTACAGGCATTAGTTTAATAAACCAGTTGGCTATGAACATAATTTACAAATGTTTCAGTATTTAACAAATAATAATTAGATTAGAACACAATTAAAATCATTTCAGCTTATATTGTAGGGTTGTTTTAATGATGTAAGCTAATAAAACTTTGTAGGATATTATAAACGTCATCTATTTCACTGATCTCATAAACAAGGGGAAGCTGTGTTTCTGCTTAATTATTTTATTTAAACAGAGTCTTGATTTTGATAATTTTCATTTGATGGTCGCTATTGTCATGTACTGATGTTTGAAAATTACCCATTAACTTCTAATGATAAATGCCAGCCACTGGGTTCCGATTCATTAATTGAATGATGTTGTACATGTACATTATGAGGTTTAAGAGTCCTGTATTGTATTATGAGTTTGAAGCTTAAAATTTAAGGAAAGTTGTCACACAGTATACATTGGTACCTAATACTTCCCCAACTCATATCGATTGTCCATGAATGCAACCCTCTTTTAACAAATTAAATGTCTTACAATGAAACTGAACAAAGAATATTATGTAATTCATTTTGAAGATACTGAAAATTACTCTTTACTTAACAAATTTAAATCTAGAAAACAGAGCAAGAATTCGCTGTATTTGTATAAAGATTTCATTTCTCAAATAATTAATAGTGACTTTATAGAATTCAAAAGGCGAATACAGTAGTGACTATTGTTAATTAACTTTATTGAATTCTTTGTTGGTGTGTGTATAAGTATATAAGTTATTACCTGAAACTCAAAGAGTTCAGCTATTCCACCTAATTGAAAACTCGAGATGATTTGCTTAATAAATTATTTAATAGTTAGATCATTGATTGATATGGATTTAAGTTGAATACAACATATCATTAAACCTGAACATAATCTATTCTATATCTAGTTACTTAATTTCTGGGTGTATTATTAATTTAATCTGATTATATAATTTTTTAAATGGATCTGATATGGATTTTTATAGTTACTAAAGTGTTGATCAGAACTACCAACCATTCAATCTGATTGACAGATATTTTTTAATTAGTTCGGGTATGAGTTCATGCTAAAAACGAAATGCACCACATACGTATAAAACCTGCTAGCTTAAGATCATTCTAATTGACGTTTTGTTATTTACAATGTTCACTTACAACATCTTTTGACCTGAAGAAACAATTTAAAATAGTTCACGTATTGTTAGTTTACGTAAACCAGTGACTGTACTGACAGGACTGATAGAATTAGATCAAGACTAAGTAATCAACAAGCGTCACATCGATCTCTACTCAGTGATCACCTAATGCATAATTTATCAAATCAGTTGTCATTCAAATGGCTTACTAGTAGCATCTCAGATTAGAAAGTTTTAAAATCCTAGACATAAGGCACATAGGTCGCTGATAAAGCTTTCTGAAGAGTGTCAACTAAATTTAAATCTTACTTCAGGGCTTCCTGCCAGTCGCTTTTAAATATCCAACATAATTGAACACAATGTATGTTCAATTCACTTTAAAAAATATTGTCACTAAGAACAACTGTATCTGGCACGTTTTTCATATTTTGGTATTTAAAAATGTAAACTGAAACCAGCAATTATAAATAAAGATGTAATTGGATGACAGAATTAATACTAATACATTCTGAATGAAATTTTTTCGGCTTCTTACGGGTCGCTACATATATATGCTAATGAGCACATCTGTTTTATTAGCAAATTATAAGTTGAGAAAGAATGGATCACAAACAAACTTTTCAGTGGTACTCAGCTGCTACTCAACACAGGATAGAACCCCTGATTTTCAGATCTAAATGCAGAGCTTGTATCCCATGTTCATGAATTTTGAACTTCAATTAGAAAGCAGTGTTCAATGGGGTCATTGATAAGTTTATATCTCACTCTCTAATTCATTGACTTAATAAGTTACGATTAATCTGTCTATCTTGGATTTCTGAAATATTTGAAACGGGGTCAAAAATGCCAAGCAGTAAAAATTTCGAAGATATCGGTAAGAAATCTTGATCTAATGCATGTCTTCTTTTACCTTTTTTTAGACTATAAATGACCTTTATCTGTAGCAAATTCCCATAATTTAGAAACCTTAAAACACAGTCACTTTCATTTACTTCTCTTGTATATTTCTCTGTTGAATTTTCGTTTGTCAAACCAAAGAATAAGCATTACATAAATACACAATTTCCCAATGATAATTATAAGTAGAAGAGATCTCATTTAAATGATCAAACTCTAATCAAAACATCAAATTATTTTGTGGTTATTTTCCTTTTTCTTTTCTAGACGAAATGAATTCAAGCACAGTCTTTCACATTCACTTGTGTACTATACTACTTATAAACTACTGAATTCTTCTAATCACTTTCAATAATGACAATTCTATTACAACACTAATTACGTACATCTATTAATTGTAAATAATCTTACGTACCAGAGTTTCATAGTAGAGGATTGTTTGTCATTGAAGGAATTGTCAAATTCACTACGTATACTACTAATTAAATATCCAGAATATTTCAACTTAAACATCCTGTTTCATATAGATTAAATTATTTCAAAAAAAATTTATCATACAATATAACATTCTTTAATTTTTGTCACTCTTCACAATAACTAAAACATAAAATCATTTCAAGTAATACTTTTCTAAGCAAATGATTTAGCTAGTTGTCATGTGCTTTATTTCTAACAAACCCTATTAATTAAGGTAGTTATGTGCTCATAAGTGCACAATATTCTATTAACAATAACAAAAATTGATTTGAGTCAGGTGATTGAACTGTAAGGCTAAATTAATTTCATTCACTAAACGTTAAATATTACGTGAATTAATAATTTGGGTACTGAGAGAAGATGATTAGCAGATAAGTTTCATAAATATTCATAGATTTATTGATTAGTTGCTTTAAAAAAAAGAGAGAAAAAAAAGATATTTGATTGTTAATGATATTACTAAAATACTGAATAAATCTAGAAAAGTCACTTTATAAATATAAGATTCTTATTAGAACAAATAAGGAATGATATGATCTTACACTAATTTCTGTGAACTTTATAATAAACATTAGTCATATTTTGTATTGTTACAAATGAATAGCAATATTTATTTATTTTATCAATTAACTATTTTAGTTAATTAGTTCACATGGTAACTAATTCAGTTTTGAAGTTATCATTTTGATACTGTGGTAGATATATCGATTCATAGTTACGTAGTTTCTAGTGATATGGGGTACAATATGACAAAATTTAAGTCTCACTTTCCTGTACTCGATATCATCCGAACTTTGTAATATTATGGCAGAATTTAGTATTAGTCAAGAATTTGGGTAGTCAAGCTAATTAGAAATGCGACCATATGTTTGTTGATGTCCTCAACACTCTACACGTGTTCACTTATGTAAATCATGATAAATTATGATATATGGTTAGTTATTTGCAAACTGATTCTACCAATTCACAATGGTTCCTCAAGCCAACACTCATACTAAATTAATAGTAATCAATAAATATTCATTAAATGATGGCGTAAATCAGAAATAACCGAAAAAAAGATTTTTATTTTGAAAATGATTAAAATGTATGGATAAACTGATAAGGACATAATTCAGTAACAAAGTTACTATGCCTTATCCTAACAGATAATATATAGTGGTTTCCAATTCCTCTGACTCCCCATCGGTTACCTTATACCCCGTTTAACTGGCAATTAAAGGTCCTAAAATGAACAACTTGTGTACAAGCAGGCGTAACCTACTTCTAATTAATTTTAGATATTTTATTGCCATACTAGTCGTTAATATTGCATGACGGTCCTTGAAATTTCACCGTTTTACATTTGAACATTCTTTCAGATACGTTAGTCGAACTAGACCTAATAGAACAACTCCTTCAGCTCTAACAAGATCCTCTACTAAGGATATATATGACTGACTCATCCAAAAGATATTCAAATACATAAGTCTTAATTACTTTGTTAACAAATTTACTCGTTTTGTCTTCGTATGAAGTGATTCATATTAACAGGTGAACATATGCGTTAAGCTGAAATGTTAAAAATAAGTAAATTATCTTGATGCTAAAAGACGTTTAATGACTTAATTAGTATAACATGTTACATCCATGTTATGCAACAAAATACTGCAAAATACATAATCGGTGTTTTTCGTTTCCAGAATTTAAGTTTTAGGCTCGGTCATATATGGGAATGATTTCATTTTAATCGTTTTGTGTGTAAGCAAGCTGCACATTAAACTTGATATTATGATGTTACGTGTTCCGAGATTTGTTTTGTTGCAATATTGACTAGTCAGTTGAATGTACTACTCTGTTCAATGACTATACAAACCGCAATCATACAAGCTTACTTCTATGAAACTAAAAACATATCAATCTTATTCCCTTGAAAATACTCACTACGCGAGTAAATGTAAATCTATCGTTTCGATGTTTTTATTGCTTAAAATATTTCCGAATATTTTCTGAAGTCAAGCTTCTTAGAAGCCATTTCATCCTCGGCATTATCCCAGCCATCAATCAAACGGTTTATCTTGACAAAAACAGTTATTTCTTTACAATATGTTCTACTTATTAATTCCTTTTAGCATTTCATGAATTTTTTAATCATTACTGGCTACATATTGATCTTCTCTAGTAGTTTTCAATATTATTATGTTGGTTTATTCAAGATACAACAATGTTAAATTGAACAGAAAATGACCTATTTCAAAATTGATTTTGATCAAAATACTCTGGCATATCAACAGTTGTAATTTACAGTGTGATGTTCAAACATGTTTGATGTACATAATTACTTGTGGGCATGAACACATTCATACTGTTTGGCGTGTCTAATTATAATTGTTAACCATTCTGTTCATTTTTATTTATTTATAGAAAAAGATAATTAACTTACAAAAGTGAAAAAACACCACTAAGATAAAATGCTTGAAGAACTAAATATTGGTGATTTAAATGATGTGCACAATGATAATAAAACAGGAAAATGGACTTCATCCAATGATCGGAGTAGATTATCACGTTATCGTGAAAGTTATTGTTCTGATGTGGATTTACTGCCCTCACTGTGCACAAAAGTAACAGTTGATATTCATCAAGATAATATTAATAATAGTGATTTTATTCACTTAACTCGGAAAAATTATGAACCATTAAGAAATAGTGATGGAGATAACGTTAAGGTAGTTAACAATAATAGCGGCAGTGATGATAAGAGTGATGATGATTATAATGATGAAGAGAATCTTATGAGCTGGTTACTGAAACAGTTTAGGGAGAATGGTTTAGATTACAATGACAATAACTTAAAAAATGATGACTTAGAGAAAATCGATGCATTTAATTATGTGAAGCGATTAAATCACAAAACATCAACTATCCCACATAATCTACCAATAGATGATTCTAATTCATCTATTTCAAGTTATCAAGCTACAGTCGATTCAAAGAAATCAAAAACACAAAATGAGCACCTATTGAGTAATAATAATAATAATAATAATTTTAGTAAAGAACAATTTGGTCATAAACAATATCATCATTTTCCTCGCATGTATCCACCTGTCAGAGATTCATCAGTCGAGTCTAGAAAGTTGTGCCAAAGGAATAAATCAAACAATTCAATAATAACAACAGCAGCAACAACAACAACCACAACAACTAACCCACCTATAGAATCAGTGAATTCAACTATGCTAAAAACAATAAACAATACAAAACATCAATGTCAACTTATCAATGGTTTATTTCATCAAATAACTAAAAAGTTGGTAAGCAGTTTTATGAGAGCGTTGACATTTTATTATCCTTTTCTTTATATAGAAAATTAAACATGACATTAGGAAATATTAAATTATTTTTCTTATAGATTGAGAGGGAGTTTTGTGAAGATCAATTCAGACTGAAGTTAACTTTTATCAAGAATTCATATTAAGTTATTGACCGTTGACAATTAAGGAGTGGTTTTTGGTTGTTAAATCTGAGTTCGCATACATTACGCTAATAGAAATCGAGTTTAGAATATTCTAGTCTCACCGCTTTTTTTAAATACTATTAAATCACAATCCAGTTATTTGTATTGGGAACTTCATTTAATCCCCAATATTGTGTGACAATTCAATTCCATTGGTGTTATTTAAAAAGTGATCATTTTATTTATAAGTAACACTAACTTATACTGAAGTTCACTTCTTAAGATGAACATCGTTACCATTTTTAATGGATAAATTAGACGTAGGAAATGGATTGATTACTAGAACGTGATGTGTCTTTAGTTGTTATAGGTTTTAATTTCTCTGACAATTCATGTTTTGTCTCGGATTCTGGTAATGAAAATTAAGAAATTTGGAATAAATACCATTTCTCAAGTGTAGATTTAGGATGTTATGCAAAATGGGATAATTTTTAGTTCGTCTTTATGTTCTTCTTTGGTTGGGAATTTCGCATTATTTCCCATTACACCACTGACGACAAGCTTAATGTAACTCATTTACTAAGGGTTGATGTACAGCATTCTAAGTAATAGCGTTTTATGAAAGCTTGTGGAACTAACTAAATGCCCAGATCGAAAGTGCCAGATTAATCTCGAACCTATGACCCATTGGTTGAAAGGGGTAGTGCTTTGACCACACTGTACTGAGACCAGGCCTTATAATTCCAGATGTTTGTCAATCCACCTAAATATCTAATGGGTGTGAATAGAGGTAAGGGAGAAAAATAAATGTTCATGTATCTTAATGATGCATATTTATCCACTACATAAGTTGTAACTTCCTGATGTCTTTGAATCTATTATGTGCTTGAAACTTCATCATTTCTTTAATTTTGATATGACAATAATAACTTATTAAAACTCCATTTATTCAAATGAATAAAAATATTTTCTGTTTAATTATTAATAAATTTACTATCATGAACAAATTATAGTTCATCCTAGTTATGCACATTGGTGTTTGTCTGTTAGATTCATTATTAAGACACATTATGGTTAAATAATTTCTTAAATAGCATCATCATATTAAGTTATTTCGATTAGTGTTCTCGCTTCTTATGAATTACGAATCCATTTCTTCCTGTTTTAAATTTTATCCTGAAAAATGTTAATGATGATGTTTACACTTTCACTCTATCGTAGATAAATATTAAGTGATGTACACTGATATTTAACAGACTCATTTTTGTGCCATCACTAGGCTAAGAAAATAAGGAGTTAGTCTTCATCGAATGAAGATATCATTCATTAGATGGACCAAACGTTTAAGTCTTTGTTGAGGAAAAGAAGACAGTAGGGTTCCAAAATATGACCAGGAATTGAATCTACGATATTTAGTTTGTGAGATGAGCGTCTTGCCTTTAGACCAATAAAAAGTAACTTGGAGATGGATTTCCAAACTTTTGGTGAAATTTTGTGGTCAGTGAAGATAAACCATGATGGATGTGAGATATCGGTTAGACTGATGGAATTTGATAATTATTTTTCACTTAAATAAAGTTTAAAATCCACACCTCTAGATTTCTTTTCGGCCAGTTGAAGGATCATGATTTGATTCTTAGCGGAGTTGTTACTACGTACTACGGAAGATTCACTGACTTGGACAAAGCAAGTGTGTTTAGATTTCTAGGTTACTCAATCAAGACAGAGTTTGCGTTCAAAGTCATCCATGAGGTAAGTAGAAGTCTCCCAAGAACAATTAGACTGCATTATTTTTGCATTGTCGAGGCATTAGCCATACATCTGGGAAGACCAGGATTATGTGTGCAAAAGCGACTGGTACAAACTCTTCTTCTACCATGGTCACGATGTCTTATATTTTTTTCATTTTTCACTTTTTATTCTCATTTTTATTTTATTTTTTCCCCTCTTTTTCTCTTTCTTCATACCCTTCTTCCTTTAAAAGTATATTCATTCACTAATTTGAAAAATAACGTTAATAAAAATTAGTATGTAGAAGGTTGATAAACAAAATTGGAATTTTTTGCAAACGGTCTAGTAAATTCAATGGAAAAAAGCAACCGATAAATACGTAAATGTTTTTTTGTTTTCTAATAAATAACCCATTTTATGTGATGAATCATTGAAAATGGTTTTGTATTTTTTTTGGCAAGTCCACCTTTTTCCTAAATATGTTTGTCACTGACTAATGTAATCTAATTGCTTCTCGTTACCGGTGTATGTTGACAAATAGCAAGTATAGTGGCAATAGTGAAACGTGAATCTGTTTGTGACTATGTGATTAAGTATAATATTTGGTATAGTTGTAATAATAACACTAATAATGATTCACAAAAGCTACATTGTTTTTTTTGGATTTCTGCTTATTTACACTACAGTATCATCATAAAGACTCTGAGGAAATATTTCAGTAATATTTTCGAATCAGTTTATTTCAGAGTTCTGATACTGTGAATGTTTTGTTCTTCCCTATCCAATTTATGTTTACATCGTTTTAAAAAATGTAGGTTAGTACTTATATCAACGAACATAGTTTTAGTTGTCAGACTGATTATTTTAATTTCAGATTTGTTCGCAATAATGAAGGATAATAAGCTCAAAATAAACTCCTAAGTAGATTGTACCACAACAATGTCTTGGATTGAAACTGTTCATATTGTTGAACAAATTTGTGTATATAATAAAATTAACCCCTTTTTCGAAGCAATAGTTTGGAAAATGTACAAAGTGGAATAATACCTGAATGAGTCTTTATGAGTACCGTTTTAGTATCTTACTTATCTTATTTTGTACATACCTCTAGAAGTGAAATCAATTATGAGAGGTCTAGTTAGTTAGTTGTTACAACTATGGATTGTAGGGAAGCTCCAGGTTAGTTAGAAGAAAGACTGAGAAGTTTTAAATTCTTAATAGCTTGCAATCCAACTTATTTCTGCGGTCCATAAATGGTTTTAAAGAAAACAGCTTAATAGCTTTTTGTCTCTTGCAACCCCTAAGATCATAATGATAGATTTATCAAGACAGTTTGCCTCACTCACTAACTTTGATCATTGAGAACAAGGAAGCACTGAAAGTTGTTGCGCCTTTAACATCGGTGCCAAACCATAATCTCTCTAGATTCATGATCCTCAAGCCATTAAAAGTAGACTATTGAGCCGATATTGTCATCTGATGACATTGATGAACCATTACCGTCTCATCAGTGATATCGTTCTCTATTTATTCTTGGCCTTTGCTAGTCAAATCTCATTAAAACTAAGAGGAATTTTCTCATAGCTTTTAGAAACTTGAACAGAATATTACCCCTCATCCTTTATGTTTATATGCTTTTGTATGTTAAACTTAGTAGTATTGAACAATGTCCTAAATCGAATTAAACGTACTGGAACTAAAACTTCGTGTCCGATAATTTTAATTTAAGTTTTTCGATAAATACGAATTCACCAATCCATTTACTTATCCTTCTTTCTAAATGTGACATTGAAATCAAATTAAAAACTTTAAAAAAAACAAATATGAACTAGTTTACAGTTACTGATAATAAGAAGCAGATGAGATTTGGATTTCATTGAATTTCATCAGCTAGATTCTTGTGATTTAAGGTGGGAGAAAATGCAAAAACAGATTTATTCAAAATGAAACCGACATAGAATAATAAAAATGAAGTTTTCTTATTTAAACTTTTACTGTTGAATAAATCAGACGAATGATACTTCTTGTAAATGACTTTTTCTTATGATGAAGCAATAGTATAGAATGGAAATATTAGTAAACAAAACAGACTTTTTGGGCAAGATTACTTTAACTTATTTTTAATTCATGTTATCCAATTCTCAGTTTATAATGCTTTGTTCAGGGTAAAAGAAAAAGTCAAACTGTTGTATCATAAATCTTTGAATATTCATTAGACTAGCTAGTATTAAAAAAAAGAAACAGAAATTATCAAACCATACAAACAACAATGTCAATAAGAATGACAATATACTTAAAAGATAAAAACACAAAACATAATCTCTATCTTCACTGAAGAAAACTGCTAATTGTTCAATGTTTCTTTGCTTAATGTTGTTTAACACAATCCTCTACATGGTACCAACATATAAACAGATAAAAAGTGATAGAAATCATGATAAAACGATCAAATTTGTTTTTGAATTATTCTAAGGAAATCTGCGCTTAAATATAAGAGTTTAATTCATTTATTTTCTTTATTTCTTTAACCTGCCGCTCTGATGTATATACATATATGTATTGCAGGAAGGGGCACATATTTAAACTCAGTTACCATATACGAGTGCTTGTACTAGACTCCATATTGCAGTCAATTCATGGAAGCTATCGATAGTCTTAAGATGTTTTGTAGATGGAAAATTCACATTGCAATGGGTTGAAATAAGTTTTTTCTAATTACCTAAAATTCACTCTAGTTATATTTCATTACTGATTAATCATTTCATCTACTGTCTATATTATAAATTCTGTAAATATAAGGGAAGTGTTCATTGAAAACTAATGCTTACCATAAATGCTGTTATTAAAAAGGAAATCAACTTTAAAAACTGTTTCCTGAATGACTAATGTATGATAAATCAAGTGAGTTGGAAATAATTAATGATCCAAGTAAGGCAGTTTAGTTCATCCAGTTTAGAAATCGTAATAATTCATAGGAATTGTATCTAACACATCAAATGTTAAGAGAACTGACTCAACATATAACTCTCTTGAATAACTAATGGTTCTCATCACAAACTGACATTATATAGAGAACCAGGAGCGTACAGTTTATACAGTTTAAAACGTTTATTATTTCCTATTCATTATCAAAAGATGAACAGATTCCAGGATGATTTTAAACAGGTGTAATGAAGTTTAACTGTTTAATATTTCTGGTCTAGTCTTTTTTGGATTATGAACAATCCCCTATAAGTTACTATTTGATTTGCTTATCTATCTCAGTAATGGTTTTCTGTAACTAAACTTAATTCGTTCCAGATCAGTTGTTAATGCACATATCATTATTATTTTTATCCAATGAAATACTGAATTCCAGTTCATTAGTTTGTAAGTATCATTCCTGTCACAAAACTTTTAGATCCTGGTCCCAAACTAGTGTGAACTTGTATTTCTATAATACTACAGAGTCTCATTCCAGCTGTTCAGTGCCGTCTGGTTTTCCCAACAAATGTCAATTAACAACTTTAAATATCATATCGAAGTTTATAAAACTTTACATAAAACACGTCAATAGATGACTACGTGTTCATCTTCTAAGTCCATTTATTTCATTCCTTCAAATATATACTTGATTTTTTTCAATAATTCGTCGTTTAATACTGGTATGCTTAAAGTATACATAAATATAATAGGCTTTTCATAATCTCTTAAGACGCTAATTTATTTTGATATGTTCCTCTTTAGTACGACTGTGATTAAGGTATCTGTGTTTCACTGCTAATGGAATTCAACAAGAAACCTGAAATTTTACTATGTGAAACATGTGAGACATAGGTTCTTTCGGATAGAGGTGTAGATGCGGAATTAACAACCCTCCTAACTTACGCTTTTTTAAAGTACGTGTAATTTGATACGTATGTACTGAACATGATATATGGTGGTTTCTATCTTTGCTTGAACTAATGTTTACGTGGAAAATATACTGTTAAATACAAATCTATAGCTCGAAATGTAAAAAATTTATGATCATCATAAAAATTGGAACCGAAGTATGAAACAGTAGAATTTATTTGAGAATGTTTACAAATAAATCTAGTAGTGAGCTCTGTACAATGACTGAAGTGAATAATTCTGAGAAGTATATTTTCATTTAAATAGTATTCTGGGGTGATCAGAAGCTATGTTCTTCATTTCTAGCTAATACAGCAGTACCAACCGTTTAAGAACACCTAGCAAAGATAGAAAAACTATAAATCACATGTTGTTTCTAATTTTATGTACCAATCTATATGTTGGTCAAATATGTTTATTTATCAAATGAATAATGTGACCTTTGATTTTTATCGAAGTACTGATAATGTAAATATTAATTTAACACCTAATAGCTAATAGAATATATTCTGAAGCGAATCCACCCTTGAATTATAGGCATTCATGTTTGTCTAGAGATGTAATCACTTAAATATTACTAGTATGGGGGTTGTGGAGATTATTGAGTTTTTGATTGAGATCATGAACTTAATAATCTCCACAACCCCTATACTAGTAATTAACATGTGCTCACTAGTGACTAGCTTCGTGAGGGAATTCTCAGAGTTGTAGTGAGAAGCCGTGACCAGTGGAGCTAATTCATGTTGGATAGAGACAAGTATCTACCTCAGTACAATAGAAGATGGTCACGCAATTTGGTGGATTGGTTGATGTTAGACACTATCATCATTGGATGCCGGCTCAGTGGTCCAGTAGGTTAAGCGTTCGCGCGTGAGACCGAAGGCCCTGAGTTCGAATCCCGCGGGGCGGGATCAAGGATGAGCACCGCTGAGGAGTCCCACAATAGGACGAAACGGCCGTCCCGTGTTTCCAGGTTTTCAATGGTGGTCTAACATCCATCGGTTCATGATCTCAATCATTTAAATATTGTTGTGTATTATTCATCAATCTGTTTAATTACATTAGATCCACTATTACATTAAAGGTATCCTTCATTCTCTTTATATTAGATCTGAAGTTATATAACTTACAACATATAAGTAATTAGATATATTGTGTTTGTTTACAATTCAATTTACAGATTTTCATAATTGTAAATTCTTATTTTTTTTTATTAAATTCAATTTTAGACTTGTTTACATGAATTCGACAAGCAAGTAATTAATGAACTTCAAAATGCTAGCCAAATCATAAGTGATTTACAAAAAACAATAAAACTTTCTGAATCTTCATTATTGAACTCATTACATTATCAATTAAATGAGCATTTTTGTCAACCTAAAATATTTAAAACAGAATTTTATAAAACTACAAATAATTTTAAAAAGAAAACTGGAATAAAAGATTTTTCTAAAAAGAAAGTTTATAATTTAGATGAAAATTTGAAAAGACCAATTATAGATGAACAACAATCATATCTAGTATATAGTTCAGAATTAGATTGTCGATCACCTACGGAAAAGGTTAGTTGATATGTATTTTGTAAATTGGTTATTTTATTAGATGTTACGACTTTATGGTAGTTTTTGTTGTTGTTGTTGTTGTTGTTGTTGTAGACTAGTAATTATAATGGTAATTTTAAACACTGTAGTAAGCTAGGTGAATGTTTCATTCATAGATTATTGTTCTGTATGAAATTCTTCCAAAATATTTTTTTTAGGTAATCTAAGAGAATTAGTGCCAACTTCGCAAAGTAACTATGTGTTCTTTTAATGTTACATTAATAGATATTATTAGAAGTAGAATACTTACCTTACCTGTTTACGATCGATGTTTGTGTTGACAAATTAGTCCTTTTCATTAAAACATTGAACAGTATATTTACTAAAATCAACAACCAATCATTAGACGGCTTCCCGATTCTGGATGTTTAATGCTGAGACTTAAATGATCATTGAACACAACATTATTTATTTTCACTTATATTGGCTTTTCATCATTTTCTGGTCTTTATTTTTTTTATTTTTCAAATCTTTTTACCGATGTAAAACAAACGAAGCCATATCGTGTGAAAATTAAGAGATAAATATTTCACAGATTGAGATCATGAGTCAGTTGAAGCTAGACCACCATGGAAAACCTGGAAGCACTGGACGGCCGTTTCGTCCTAGTATGGGACTCCTCACCAATACGCATCCAAGACCCCGCACCCCGTGAGGTTCGAACCCAGGACCTACTGGTTTCGCGCGCGAACACTTAACCATTAGACCACTGAGCCGGCATCATCTGCTAACCAGTGACCAACTTCAAGAGATACTCCTGGAGTTCTAGTGGTAAGCCGTTACCAGTGGAGTTCAACCAGGTCTGTTGTGAGATACCAACTCACTGAAGACAATGGTATAAGGTGGCGCAACTTCGTGGATTGGTTGAAGTTAGACATTAACATCGTTGGATGGGTGCGCACTGCCGAGGAGTCCCGTACTAGGACGAAACGGCCGTCCAGTGCTCCGAAGTTTCCCATGGTGGTCTAGCTTCAACTGACTCATGATTTAAATCTGTGAAATTTCTAAAATCTCCACAAAGCCCTTCTGATAAGATAAATATTTGTTAACAAGTTACAACTTTCTATTTAGTTTGGTTTATTCATCGTGCAATTAACAATCCTCAAAAGGAAGTGCATTCAAATTAGGTATTCTGTCGTAGTGTGGAACCCATGATCTAACTAAGGACCTTTATTTCTGTCAATGATCATGTTAGCTTTCGACTATATAAATTGAAATCCAACGGTCTACATTTTCAATCCCAGTTATTTCAAGAATCTGCAGGTCAATTGTTCAATGCTATCATTGATACGTACTCACTTCTAACATGATAAATTAATTTTAAATAAAACAACTGAAGTTTCTGTAACCTTTAACTAGGTACTCTCATGTGGTGACTTTTCAGAAGAATGGGTTGCAAGGGTTTCATTGTCGAAAAATAAGTTTCAGTCTGTCATACATTAAATTTTTAAGTTATTCTGAAAAAGAAACAGATGATTATGAAGAACATCGAAACTCATTTTAATGTGTATTAGTAGCCATCCCTTCTCTAAAAGCAAATATGAAATTAGTTTTGGATATGATTTTTCTGGCAAAATATTTTATTGACGTATATGTGACAAATGCTTTATGTCTCATTACGTTTCTGATTTTTTTTAAAAAAAACGACAAATCAAACCAGATAATTTCTTAAAATAATTCATCATATACTATAAAAAAACATGTGAGTTTATTCATAATGAAGTTTGATTAATAATGGGGAATCGCTATACAACCGGGTTTATTTACAATCCTCTAGTCCATTAATATGGTCCAATATCATATAAGTCGTGAATTTAGAGATGTTTGTTTATAGAGTTTAGAAGGATATTATCTTTATCAATAGAAACTAGAGGTGGTACTCATAACTATGTTTCGTCCTATTTGGAACTCATCGCTTGAATGTACCCATATAACGGTATTTATATTTGCCGTTAAATTCAAACCAACTATTCATCGAGGATGTATTTAACTGCTAATGATTGAGTGAAATTATTACAATCGTGTAAATAAACATACTTTCAAGGGATTTGGTACGATAAAATATATTCACAGTTTCGAGCACAGCTTATGCAGGTGATGATGTCACATAGCAATATGTTTTGACAATTTTATCTAAATGTTTTACTTGTCAATGTATAACGTGCTTTTACTGTCTTATCGCTTACGTACTCGATATAAATATAAATATACATCGAGAATGGTGAAAGATTTCTTTCACTTTTCCAAGATTTTTGTAAATTAATAAAAAAATTATGCACAACACAGTGACAAAATAAAAGTAACTGATTTAGTTAAAGTAAGTAAATAAAGTCTAGACAATAAATCACCTTTTTTTGGATGTAAAATTTGTAAGCATCATGATTAATAATGGCGGCCTGTTTAAGTATCTGGGCTACTTGCTCCTGCCACCTAGATATTTCAACAAGTTATCTGTTTTTTTTTGCTTTGTTTGTTTTAACACATCATAATGTCTAGTAAAAGTTTATGATATTTCGCTGTACAAGTTACAAAAAAGCCGAATCAGGGAAATCGTGGTTACTGACAATATGCAGCCAGAAAAATGTACATTATTATGCAGATGTCGATTCATGAACTGCTAACATGACACTGGCGATCATTCAATTTTTGTCGTCAGGATAGATGAAGAAATAAGGGAAGGAAACTCGTTGAAATATTTCGTGCTGAAAATTCTATATTGTACCAATAATATAATATTGAATAAAGCTAATAATAATATTACCAATAGTAGTAATCTTGTTTTTATTATGAAACTTGAGATTCTTAGTTAGTTTATTTCTGATAAAATAACCCAGAATTTATTGAGTTAATATTGTTTTTAATGAGATCTGAATTCTATTGATAAACGTATACCAAACGTACTAAGGATTGTTGCTTATTATGTATTCACTAATGAATTGAAAGTGAGACTTTACATGTGAATAGTAATTACCAGTATTGTTCCGTTGTTTCTGGTTAGATTTAAGAAAGATCAAAAGAATATATTAGTGTCATTATACTTGTACTGTAGACATTTCGGTACTTTAAATATATTATTTTAAAATCTGTTTATTAATTTCACAGATTGAAATCATGAGTCAGTTGAAGCTCGACCACCATTGAAAACCTGGAGGCACTGGACGGCCGTTTCGTCCTAGTATGGGACTCCTCACCAATACGCATCCAAGACCCCGCACCCCGTGAGGTTCGAACCCAGGACCTACTGGCTTCGCGCGCGAGCACTTAACCACTAGACCACTGAGCCGGCATCCAACGGTGTTAATGTCTAACTTCAACCAATCCACGAAGTTGCGCCAGGTTTTCAATGGTGGTCGAGCTTCAACTGACTCATGATTTCAATCTGTGAAATTTCTAAAATCTCCACAAAACCCATTCTGTTTATTAATGTTTCAGCTGGTTATATGTTAGTTAAATCCAACAAACAGTAAAATAACCTAATATTTCGATACAAAAACGAAATCTTCATACTTTTAAGTTACCAAGGATTTATGTTCATATTTAAAACTTAGACATCGTTTCAATGAATTCGGATTTATTTCGATCACATATAATTCAAATTATTGTTAATGCTAATGGAACTTTTAGCACTACAACTCTTTAGTTTGTTGAATCTATTCAGCTATAAAGTATAATACATTATCCTTAGGTTACAGTCACTAAAACCCCTGATGATCCTCTTATCATACTAAATTCTTCCCAGCTATATTAATAAATACTATAACATTGGTCATCTAAGCCTAGTATACAGCTCTACTTTAAACTTGAAATGTTCAGAGCACTTATTTAGTCGTTTATACTGTTTAATGTTTTTTTAAAAAAAGCAATTGATATTAGTGAATAAATGTTAGTGTACTTCTATTGTAATCTTTGTATACTATTATATTATTATATTAAGGTCAAGAGTATTGAATGATAAAAGTGCTAGAAAATGTACTTTGGTTAACGATTATTATGCTGAATGCTAATGGTAATTGTATTGATTGACTATGTTTTAGAAGAATAATTGAAAGTCATCAACCACTACCATATAAATCAAGTATGTTAGAAACTTTATTAATATGATATACATTAACAAACTGATTTAACTTCAGTTACCCCTTTCAACTTGTCGCTATCATCTGTTCATGAATAAAGTTTTTTTTGTAAATTTTATTATATTCATTTATTCAGTTAATTGATTTATTGAGTAGTTTCGGTAAACTTATGTATATTTATAATCTCAATAGTTAATTCTCTATACATTTTACTGTTTTGTATTTTCTTAAAAGTAGTTATTCAATTTGGCACTGTATAAATTATTCCTGTAAGAAATTACAAGTGATCTGTAAACATGATTTAGTACTTAATTCATTTGACTTTAATTAATACAATGAAGCCTGCTCATTTCATGTCAGTTCAAACAGTCAGACTATACAGAAAGACTGCAATTAAAAAGGATTGTTTTTTAGCTGTGTACAATAAGCTGCATTTAATTGCTAAGTTGTATTTACTGACCAGTAATAAGTACGTATGTTTCATGTTTCACATTTTCATATTGTATTAAATGTAAGGGATGGAAATTTTTTAGGATATTCTGAGAGAAATAACAAATTTTTAAAAATGTTCTGTGTGTATTAGATACAACCCATTAATCATGTATCACTTCTTTATACACGTGGTTTTAGGAGTAGCATGTTTGCTTGAACATCAATCATGCTGCTCGACTGATTAAATAGAAGGTGTAATGGAGTTTGAACCTAGTGTCTAATAATTGTAAGCTGACTGCTCTAATCACTAGAACTTTAGTTGGCTCATTGCACTGTGTTTATCATAAGTTTGTAGGGTTAATTTTAACTGTTCTCCTTTAGTTTTGCATTTTAAATAATAAGATTAATTGAATTCCCACATTTTCAATCAGGCTAGACAGTTGAATACTCGTGTAGGGGCTTAAATGATGAAAACTTCAGTTTATAGTCAACAGTTCATCTCTTCCGAAAAAGGGGTGACTTGTTGGAATGTAATTTTAGGAATCAATCCTCGTGACTATATGTATATTAAATAACTACCAACATCAGTTAAAGCATCTGGTATGAACTTCTGAACTCATACTAATTTCACGAATACAGTAGGGTTGAATTGTTCAAGCTATAAACAAATAGCTTATACTTAATTTCTATATAATATTTCGGTAAACAAAAAGAAATTATCGAGTATTCATTATAATGAGTCATTCATTCGGTGTGTATATTTCTGTTTTGTTTCGTTTTTGATTGACATTCATGAAGGAATTATTTAAGCCAAAAGCAATAATAACAACAACACGAAGAAGAAGAAGAAGAAGAAGAAAAAGAATGAAACAGCTGTTCATCCATTTATTTATACTACATTATATTATTTAATAATTTTATTGATTTCCATTCCATTTGTGAACTTACACCCCAACAATTAGTGTCATTCACTTGTTCAATTAGAAACAGAAATTTTCGAACATTTGAACTTTTGACTAAGCACACATACCTGAACACACTCATATCTATTCTTTTTTTTGAAAAAAAATATATATAAAGCCCCATTTAGTTCCATATATGATTTCATATAGGTTGAGTGATTGAAGAATTTGATAGATTATTGTTATACATGCAATTAGAATGAATGATAACGCATTATTGAGGAGTCATAAATTGTATGAACATAGTGGGATTTATTGTTTTAATCATTTAAAATAATTTAAAAAAATCCCCAGTATATTTTGATACGTAGTATGGTGATATTTATCTATGTATCTTCTTTTCACTTTTGCTATCTATTTAAAATAATAAATCTACACTTAATTTTTCAAAATATTTTTGTGTATTTAGTAAAATATATATCAGATGGGTTTTTGTGGAGATTGTAGTATCATTCATTTACAAATTGTGATTCATTCAATTCCTCTCTCTCTCTCTCTGTCTCTCTGTTTCTCTGTCTCTTATTTTCTAGCTCTGTTCGACTTCACACGCAAATACATGTACACACGTAGTCAAACATGTACTTTGCGTATTCACATCTCTTTGCATTCTACTTCCAGTAGGTACATATATTACGCTGTTACACACAAAGACAATATACATTTAAGACCTATTTTTTTACTATGTATTCTTTTTTTTCTACCTCATTTAGCATTCCACATATTTTTTTCCTGTCTAACTATTTATCTATTTCGCGATTTGGTTAAAGAAAAATCGATTTCTTTTTTTTAAAAAATATACACCAAATATTCAATTTACATTGGGAAAAAAAGGATCATTATGGGAAATGTTTTATCTATATCAGTAATCTAAATTTTAAATGGGAATTAAATAGTTAATTTTTTTTTATTGGACTTTAACATTTAAAAATTTTGCTTCTAGTTTTGAAAGTAGACTAAAATGTGAGGTATCCAAACTGCTTATCCATCTTAATTGATTGGATTTAAGATTATGTACAGGATTACACCAATTAATTATATTCAAGGCTCATCTTTTATTCTATATCATTATGGTCATCAAAATGAATTAGTTTTCTTTTTTCATGAATTGTCAATGGATCAATACTTTTTCGGAAAAATGGATAAACTCTTTTGCTCTTTTTTGGGGGTTAAAAATTTACAAATCTTTAAGCCGCATTATGTTATGTCATTATTTCTTTGGTAGGTTTGTATCATTGCTTTTTCTGACACTGATACTCAGAAATCATCAATTCAAGTAATATGAAGGTATTTTAATTTTGAAAGATGTCTGAGGTTAGGAATTTTGTTGTTTAATTTACATCACAGAGTGATGTTAATTAGACAATAATTTATAACCTGGAAACATTGAACATCGATTTCGTCTTACAATGAGATTCTTTAACAGTATCTACCGAAAACCCCACTAAGGATCAAACGTAAGACTTAAAGATCTCATGGCAGGCGATTAATCTCTGAGCTGAGATCCACGATTTTACTAATCCAACTTGAATTCGCAACACTGAATGACCAAATATGATTATTATTAATCAGTAACTGCATAGCACTTTACATGGTTGGATTCAACTGGTCGCGGTTTTTATCAAGAGCAGCTTTCGAACACCTCTCCTTTTCCATAACTTACCGAACTAAGATCGGTCTTTGCTACAAACTGCGAAACTCAACAGCCTCTACAAAAATCTTATAGTACATATTTGGTTTGGTATGGATGGCTAATAATTCAGATATAGATTAAAATGAGATACCTAGGAGAAATTTGTGGTCACATATGAAATAAAACCTTGTTTATAAAATGCACTTTTTAATATTGATCTGACCTCCTACAGGAGGAGCTAACTGCTTTTCTTTGGTTTAATTACTTATAATTGCTTATAAACTGTCATCGTTTCAATCTTATCTTAAGAAACCGCGTGGGTTGATATTTTGAACAACTCGTGGGAGTTGACCAATATATATTGTACACGATTCTAAATATTAGGTCATATTTATCAGTCAAATGAACCGGAACCATAGATAAATACTGAATATCCCATGCATCTGTGCGAAGGAGAACAGACAAACCAGCATATATTATAATACTATTACCAAAATGTACAAAAGTATTCTGACTGAAGTTTAGAAAAAATACTGGAGTCCGTTATTTCAACTTGATAATCTTAAGGTATCCCATTAACCTCTATACTGGGAAATCTTAGAGTCGACCTTGTGTTTAGTCATCACTGTGTATTACAGAGGAGTTCGGAAATGGAATAAAACAAGCAGTTAATGATGAACACAATATCGAGTCGAGTTAAAAATTGAGTGTCAAAAAAGTTTCCTATTTATGTATTAACTGTAAAAAACAATGGAATACTCATTTTCAAATCGAATATAGCACACACTCACTAAGTGTTATTTATTGGCAGGTTTCTAATTCTGTAAGTGTTGATTATATACAAACAAGTTCATCACATTTCTAATCCATTTTGTCTATCTTTGTTTTAGTAACGCCGCTTAGGATTATTAAAATAGATAAATTTATTTTACATCCAATTTATTGTTTATTACTATTCAATCTTTAGTCAGTAAATGTGAAAGTTGTAAATATTATTGGTCCATAAGTCATAATGAAGTAAAATGTAAATCTTACGTTCTTCTGAAAGCGGGGAGTTGAATAATTGCCAATTTTATGAACTCTTGTTTTAATGTTCAAGCAGTCATGTATAGTTTTTTTTTTTTTTAAGTCAAGAATTGAAACAAAGATCCATTAGAAATAAACATGCATCAAAGTGGTGTTCTATCCTAGTTCAAACTTTTCAGTAATGTTCATCTACGATTCAATCAAATAACTGAAACCTAGAACATCCATATTGAACTACATGCAACGTTATTCATAAACATTTGAAATAGATAGAATCTGTCATTTCACATTCTCAACCTTATTAAGTACATATTAAGTAATATAACAATTATTCAGTATCATTAGTGATACTTGTGTGACTCTACAAAAGTTATCGATTCTTAATAATTGTGTTTATTTTCTTATTAAAAAAAGCTGATTACGGATTTTAATAACAAATTCAGCTTCTCTCTTGTATTTATTTTAATATTTACTTAGAATCCAGTTAAACAGGATGACTGGAAAAGTCCTATTACAGAGAAAAATGAACGCCATTCAACACAAAGAAAATTCACAGAATCACCATGGGGACCAGTATCAGTTCAACAAGCAAAAAAATTAACAAAAGATTTTGACCAATGCCCGAAAGTCATTGGTCAAAACAATAACAATCGTAAAAATAATCACCTTATAACAAATGATAATTATTCGAAATGGTTAAAATCTTCGAAATCTTCAATGAGTAATAATAATTTAGATAAATTGAATGAATCTATTTATCAAACTAATGATGTAACTGATAAAAAGTATAATTTCTCAAATGAACGATATTTTAGCCAATTAACTTTACCAATCTATTCAACTTTTTCCAGTACTAAATCAAATACAGTCTATTTGAATACATCTAAAGAATTTAATGTTTCAGAGAGTAATTCAAACAAATTCACCACAACCAAAGGTATTCAATCTTTGTTTAGATTACCATTTAAAAGAAAAGCAAGTACACCTGGACCGAATATTCAATTTGTAGAACACCCATTAAAATCTCATGGACGTTCGGCTAGTTTAGCTCAATTGAATACATCAAGTGAAAATCCATCTGTTATGTCTGTATCAAATGATCAATTGAATAAAAGTACTAATAAATTAAACGTGCCATATATTAAACCTTTACTACTTAAAGAATTGTCGAAAATTTGAAATTGAGAAACCATTGAAATGACCATATTTTTATTTTTAAAAATATTTTAAAAATCTTAAAAATCCTTAAATAAAATCACTTGTGACTTTCTGCTTTATAATCTGCGTTCAATATAATGCTGCTAATAAATATTTTGTCCGTAAGAATATAATCAACAAAACTAAAGTTTTTCATTAAAATATTTTGATTGCATAGTGATAATATCTCTGACTATGAAGTTAGGTGACACAGGATCGAATCCGTCAGGGAGCATCAGTTCCCTCAAGATTACAGGTACACCTTGCTGACGAGTGCCAAGTAGCATGAAACCCATGTCAAACGTTTCCTGTTGACTACCTCCAACCACCATCTTATCTCAACTTAATGTACACAGTGTCAAGTCACCTAGACTACTAGCCACATTGCAACTTGGTCGGTAGTATTCAATCTGCACTAAGAAGGACTTGATATTGGTCACCACCCATTAATCAATCAACTGTCATAGTGAAAATGTTTATAATCAAAAGGCATATTTTTAGTTATCATAACTATACTCGTTTGTTGTTAGGAGAAAGTTATGATGGAATTTATCAGTACCGGATAATAGGTGTTGCTCGATACCGAAATATCTGTTATTGATATATCTGATTATCTGATATGGCGCTTAGAGAACTTTAAGAAATCCATAAGCTAGAATCGATAGAATGAATTTTTCTGATATTATGTGATGTAATTTATTAATATTTTAGGAGTGACACAAATTTTTAACATTTACTCACAGTTATCTGATGGTGCCCTGCTTGAACATCTGGGCTAGCTGTTCCTGCCATCTAGTTACCTAACTTTGTTTGTTTAAGTACACCATAATGGTTATTAATCATATTACCTACTTAGGTGCGTTTCTGAAAAAGTGTACAACCTTACGTTGTACAAGTTACAAAAGGCACAATCACAGATATCGTGGTTGCTGGCAATATGCAGCGAAAAGAATGTACATTGTTTAGATGTCAACTGACTGGATTGCTAACTTCTACCTGGTGATCAATCAATATTTATCATCAGGTTCGATCAAGAAGTAAGAAACGAGAAATTTTTGAAATACTTTGTGCTGAGAATTCTATATTGTACCAAAAATATAATATTGAATAAAGCTGATAATAATATACATAATTTACTATAGACATCGTAGCTACTTATTAGTAGCTCAGTGTTCATTGTGAAATATTTTACATGTAAATGTTTAGTTATAATCATGAAATATATGAAAGTAGTCCATCTACTGAGAACGCTCACGTAATAGGATAGATTATAAGGACAAACATTAATCGTTCATACCATGAAAATTTATCACAAATAGTTGAAAAGTGTTGATACTACTTTATTGTATTCAGTAACTATGTCCCTAAAATATTCACCAGTAAAACCTAAAAGATCGAAGATTGTTCATCTTGCAGATGACTTTACGCTTCATTGATATCAGATTTGTAACTGTTTAACTAGATCATTAAGTGAAATAAATTAACATGATTGCTGATGTAACAATAAATGTCGGTATATAGCAATATGTTACCGGTCGGTGGGTTTTGAAGCTATTTTCTTATGGTCCAATGACAGCATTTCGAAGTATCCTTATTTATCAAGGTTGGTTCTTGGCTTCGATATCAGAAATAATAATTCCTAGAGTTTGTTTTTTTCAAAATAAACTATGATCATTTAATCCATAAATTGAAATCTAGCAATGATATTGTTTTATTTACATAATTGTATTTCCTCTAAACTAAAGTAGCACTTTCATGATTCATTCAATTCATAGCAAATATGTAATAGTATTGTTTTATTCATAACATAAATCATTCATATTTTTATCAAGGCAATGAATCGGTTTCAATTTTAAACACATGTTTTCTATCTTAATTATCATTGTTCACATTTAAAAATAACTCCAAGGTTGTTCAGCTGTTGATGTCGAAAAACTGTGATTTACCAGTATATGGGCTGTGGAGATTATTAAATTTTTGATTGTGATCATGAACCGATTGATGTTAGGTCACCGTTGGAGATCTGGAAGCACTGGACGGTCGTTTCATCCCATTGTGGGACCCCTCAGCAGTGCACATCCACGATCCCGCCCGCGGGATTCCGATCCAGGGTCTTCCGTCTCACGTGCGAATGCTTAACCTACAGGACCACTGAGCCGGCATCCAAGGGTGTTGGTGTCTAACATCTCAATCAAAAACTTACTTATTCATGAAATGCAATGCAATACTTATAGAAATAATGGTTACTTAGGACGAATTTATTGTATCCTGTAAATACTGTTCTTCTTGCTCTATTTAAATACTAATCAATTTTATCGTAGTTATTTGTCAAATCAAACAGACATTTTCATTAACATTGACGAGTGTGAAAATAAGCTTGAGTTATAATACCTCTCTGTATCAATACATTTATGGAATATTGAATGTTCCTAAGGATTTTGTTACAAGAACATAGAGGGAGAAAATACGAATTTCAAGTGTGAACACTGATAAGCACTACTTTGACAATTACTGTTTGTAAAAATGATAAATCACAGTGAAAATTATGTGTAAAAGTACTTTCTCTACTTTAAGTTACATACTTACTTACTTACGCCTGTTAAGCCTCGTGGAGGAGTATAGGCCACCCACCAGCACTCGCCATCCAACGCTGTCCTGGACAATCCTCGCTAAAAAAAAGTTAACCGGAAAAAATAACTCAAACCATTTAAACTCTGCCCTGGGAGTTAGAAGGTTTTCATTTAGAAGGACTATGACGCCTCATGATGAAAGCCGATTTCTCTCAAGTTACATGGTGTCCATCTATATATCTATCAATATATATTGATTCGTCCTTGTTACAACATACCTGTTTTTCACCATATTGTATGTGTTAGAGATAATTGTCTGGAGCAAAACCCACTATTTTACTTGGCTTCACCATTTCACAACTCTATGAAACAAGTAGCTTGAATTGAAAGTGATTTTTATCAAAGAAAGTAACACGTTAATTGGGGACATTTATATCCAGTTTAATAAATCAGTAAAAATTATTACAGACAGCTAAGTTAATATTGGTAGATTTTATTTGTGTAAATAAGAATCTATACACACACACTATCTTCATACATTAAAGTAAAAATACAAAAACCATTAGAAGAAGTACTTTATAACAGTTAGGGTACAATTCTGATTTTTTTTAATTATTTAAAGCTTATACAAATAACTAAGGAATCATTGATGTCAAGAATCCTGAAATTTTGATACGAATGTTCTTGTTCAGTCATGTAAACGTTCCATCCTTAGCAACATGATCTTTATATTTGTGTCTCTGGTTTTAGCTAGCGTTTTGTCTAGTGTTGACAGTTCGTGATTTTAGTTCAAGGTAAGTAAAGATGTTTAATGAAGATACGAACGACATTTGTTCTTATTTTAGATAGTCGTAATCAACGATGTTGACAACTAACCTTCATTGTACCAGTGACTGACACTTGTTACAATGTTTGAATGAAAACGATTATTATGTCATCACTCTTTCATTTGTTGTGATTTATTAATTAGAAACAGTTGATTACATAGCATTTCGTTCTCAATTTGAACGTAGATACTCCAGTCGTGATAAATACTGTTAATGAAATACAGTATTTAACGAGACAATTAAAATGTTTCACCGCGTTATTAAATTAATGATATAATCACATAAAATTTAACTGTTAACATTTTTGGTGGGATTACGTTCTCTGAGCTAGACGGAATAATTGCACAGCTTTTGTTTTCGTCACCTAGAAGAAGGCAACCAACAACAAACAGGATGTTGAAATTAAGAATCTGGAAGTTCTAAGAAAATTAACAGCGAAGTTCTTATACTACACATATCAATTCTTTATCAAGAGTTATGTATAAATACATAATTGATGTCATTTCATACAGAAAAGGTTAGTCAACCATATGTTCCGAACCCAACAAAAAAAAAGCTAATCAACATGAACGCAAAAACAAATGAAGGTGATAAAGCTCACAAAGACAACTGGTCACAATAAGTTTTTCAAACGAGCACAACGACTGACTTGACATTTGAGCAATAACTGAAAGACTTACATCTATTTGAAGTAGGCGCCAATAATGTTATTCATAGCATCAATTAATGCTCCTTAATTAATACATCTATCTCAGATGGTTCAATAATAATTAAAATATTTACCTAGGCTGCAAATTTCCATCATTTCAGGGAATATTATCTCATTTATTTTATATAACCCATATAATCATGTAAAGCTAAAAGCATAAAAATAAATAATTAGTTAACCGACTCATTTTATTTACATTACTCAATAATGTGGAAATTTCCTGTTTTCTGTATTGTGTGACTTATTTCGGTTTTGGTTATATGATGGGATGAGTGAGCATGCATTAATAGAAGATAATTTATCCATAAATCATTCCTTTCTAATTTACACTTCGGTCGAATTGGTATACAGAGAAACAATGAGGAAGAAATTAGTGAGATCATAACAGAACTGATGTTATTGTTTCCAGTTTATCCATACATTTTTTTAGTATTCATGTATAACCAACAGTAATTTTAAAGTATTATTCTACTTGGAATGATTTCCGCATGTTCCATTTAAATTGGGACTTAAGTTACGAGGATCCTAGAAAGATTGACAACGGAAATTTTAGTGAAATTCATTTTGAGAATTTATACCTGTTTAAATCAGAAAGAAGTGTTGAGTGAATCACTAAAAGACTCGTAAGTGAAACATATCTATCTATAAATTTTGTTAAAAATGAACATATACATGGAAGCTGAGTTTTCACTTTTGGCCAGTTTAATTGATCCCTAAGTAGTAAATGTTATGTTCCTTATGTCCTTAGCGTTGACTATATTCTATCGATCAGGTTGGAACTTTTAAACTAGTTTAGTTGATTTGAGTTCCTGTTTTGATATAAGGTGATTGAGAATAATTGAATGCATTTCAATCTTTTTCTAGGTTTTTTTCAAGATTTCAGATATAGATAGTTGATATGTGTCAACCAGGAGAAAACCAGATTTTCTTATCGATTTTGATTTTTGCCCATGAACGTTTATATGTGTTAAAGATGGTATATTCAAAACATGTTCTGGGGAATATTATATATTTTGTGTAG